CAGTCAGAAGACATGATGAAAACTCCTTAATCTCACAACACATGGACACCCAGATAAGCAAAGGTTACTACCAGGCACACAGTCAAGCAGTAAACATATGCTAATCAAGGAACTACCAAAGGAGTAAAACAAAACCCCAATCCCCACCAGCACTGGCAAAGCATGCCACAGTATATAAATAGAGAGCAAACCCCATCCCATCAGATAAGCAAAGGTTACTACCAGGCACACAGTCAAGCAGTAAACATATGCTAATCAAGGAACTACCAAAGGAGTAAAACAAAACCCCAATCCCCACCAGCACTGGCAAAGCATGCCACAGTATATAAATAGAGAGCAAACCCCATCCCATTTTAGCACTGAAGGTGTTACCTAGCCGGGTAATGAAATGTCTGCAAGAAAAGAACCAAACTCAGAGAACCCCAAGGACTCCACATCTTTTAAACTTTCTATCTATAGAGGCAGACACTTTTAAAATTAACTTCTGGGTCCATTGTTCAAAAATGTCCCTCAATATACCTAATGTTAAAATATTTTGCTTCATTCTGTATTAGTAAATCAAATTTAAGTGTTTGTTTTTTTGCTTTAATTGTAATCTTTAGTTCCTTCTGGTTCCCTTTACTGTCTAACCTTCAAAGTCTTATCCTATCATTTTTTAAAAAAAGAATTCAAAAACACTTTCTCATGTGAAGGATTCTTATAATTAATTCCAAAATCTTATTTCAAATCCATCTGAACTCTTAGTCCATTTATAACTTTCCAAATCAAAGTTCTAATCACCCTTTTGCTGTTTATTCCAAAAAAAAAAAATTTTTTTTTTAAGTCCTTAAACTTGCATTTAAAACTTCTTTCACTAAGGATTGAAGGAAACTCACCCGGTGTTTTCAGACTTGCTGATCCAAAGGTTCCTAATAGCTGAAAAGCAATTAACAAGCAATTTCTGAAAGTGATTAGAAAAGGAAGTATGCGAATCCAGTGTCCTTAACGGCACTGACCATGATTTGAGCAAGATGGTTATTCCTTTGTCTCCCAGAGCTCTAAATCTGCCGGAGACCACTGTTTTAAAATCTCGCAAGGAGCAACTGTCTGGAGCACTTGTTGGTGATCTCAAGTCCTCTCCTTGTCTGGAGAGGAATTATGAAGAGCCTGTCTACTTGCTGAAGAATCACGTCAAATAATGAAATAAACAGTTATGCATTTGGGACCACAACTCCTTGACTCATCTAAATGTATCCTCTATATGACTCACAACTGAAATAATTAATCTCTGTGTGTAGTAGTTTATGCCAAAAGTGGATTGAAAAAGGTAAGCAGATTGCTTATTGGAGGATATCTATAGCATATGGGCTCTCCTAGAAATTTGATGGAAACAGTAATCTCTTAGAGTGTTAATGCTATGAATGCACAAAATTCTATTTTTTTAAGAATAAATTAGAACCATGGAAATTTTTCATCTCTTGGAAAAGGGATTCATAGCTGTAGCATTATATTATCCTTGTTATGGTTCATTTTATGTTGCTAAATATTATGATGAATGAGAATGCAAAAACAGTTGTGATGGATCAAATAGGAAAAACATTTAACTGAACATGTTTCTCATGGTGACCGAGCCAGATGCCATTGGAAAGCCCTAAGCTGAACAAGATATCAACCCCTTTCTCCTGATGTCATTCCTCAACAATTAGTAAATAATCTTTCAAGGCCAAGTATTACTTAATCATTTTCTTTATTCTACTTAGTCTTGTTTCTGTTATAATTCTTACTTTATGCATATCACTATGCATAGAATTAAAAGCAGCAGCAACAGTGGAAGGCTACTATGGTTGCAGCTATGGTATCAGAAATCAGCAGGCAACATAGTGTCCACAGGGGGTGCAAAGAGGGAGCAGGTGTCATCATGTGTGACATGTTGTTATGCAAATGAGACAAAGGTATGTTGTATATCATTCACATCATGCCATGACTGACACAAATAACATAGTTTGTGTTATTCGTGTAGTAAAGTCATAACACATGTGAAGTCATCTCAACATCTACTGAGTGTCCATGGTGGCCAGGAAAGTGATATATATTTATTATAATTATTATATTCATACAACACAATAAGTCATATGCAGTTATTTATTTGCTTGCAGTTCAATATGCTGTATGAAATCAGCCATATTACATTACTTAATCTTGATTAAGCAATTCATGCTTTACAAAATACAGAAGCAGAATGAGATGAGAAAGTAGGCAATAGTGGATAGGTGCAGTTGGCGATTCCAAACTGTGTTGGAGAGGCAGGATACCTCTGAGATTTTATTTAACTATCAAGAGGTATGGTAGCAATGGCCACCTTGTTTAAAAGTAACTGTCTTGGTATTCTCCTGTTAATGACATCCAACTTGGTGGCTAACAATAAATATTTGGATATAACATTCTTTTGCTGAAATACACACTATATGTAGTATTTTTCCTTGATTTTTATATATATTTCATAGTTATATGTAAATTAACTTATAATATAAAACAGAGAGGATGGTAAAATGCAACAAGCATGAAGGAGGCACTAATCATATTATGACGCTACTGTTAAAAAGGGGAATTAAAACTGCACTTAGTATCATTCTCCATCATTGCTTAAAGGGGAACATGCCCCATACATGTGTTCCTACAAGAAATTGCCTGTGCGGTGAAGGGGAAAAAAGTCCACTAATAAGAATCCCTAATGGTCTTACTTAATAAGCACAATGTCTTCAACCTTGGCAATGCTGGGGAATTCTGGGAGTTGAAGTCCGCACATCTTAACGTTGCCAAAGTTGAAACACACTGATTTAGCATATCGAATCTATGAATGCCTGCTTTTCCAAAGACAATCTGAGCTTCAGCCGTTGTACCCTTTACCCTCCGACTCCATTCGTCCCAGAGCAGCAGCCAACATCTGCCTGTTCGAGCCCCAGAAAAGATGCGCGCGCCAATCCTCACGTGCCAACCTACCCCTCCCTTCCACCAGTGGCGCTCTCCGATTTCAAAGTCGCCGCGCACGTGCGCTTTGTTTTGGTGACCGCGAGAGACAGAGAGAGAAAAAGAGAGCCGTTGGTAGGGCAGCGCGCCTGCGCGCACGGCCAGGCCGCGCCCCGAAGGGCGGAGCGAAAGGGGCGGGGCTACATGCGCAGGCGTAGAGAGGCACGTTTTCGTGCGGGAGGTTGAAGTCCTCGCCCCCGTCCTCTCCCCCGGGTGCCTGGTTAGAGGGGGAAGGGCTAGAGGTGGAGCCTCCGGCTGGGGCCTGACTGGGACGCGGGCAGGCGCTGTTTCGCGGGCGGCGGCGCTCCCAAAATGTCGCAGACGGCCATGTCCGAGACCTACGGTAGGGAGCGGTCGCTTGGGGTTGGGCTGCGAGGGAGGGAGAGGGGCCGCGGCGGGTCTGCCTCTTTGCTACCGAGAGAGCTGTGGGGAGAAAGCTGGCTCGGAAAAACGGGGCTGGAGCACTACGCCGTCCGTAACAGCGGAAGATCCTTTCCATTGGCTCGCCGGGGATGTGCGGTGCGCAATAAAGCCGCCCTTCTGTTTTCTGACGAGTGTAAGGTGCTTCCTCTCTGTGAAAGGATCACGCCTGGAGACCTGAAAGCCTAGCGCATCTCTTCCCGTGCTCCTCCCCTTTGGGGTAGGATGGGGAAGGGTTTCAGCTCTTCGCTGTTAAGCAAGAAGGGAAAAGGTAGAGGGGTGCTTGTGGAGACCTTGACTGCTTATTTGAAACTGGGTTTTAGAAATAGGCGAGGCTGTGTGCTTCCTTACATTTTGGCCCGTCTGATTTATCACTTCTGCTTATCCCCACATTAGGGTCAGTTGCTTTCAACCTTTTCTGATAACCCATGATCCACCTTCAACCAAGCATGCATTTAGAGATGAAGCTTCACGTTGTATCCATTGTGGTGGCGTTTTGGTTGCAACCCACCTTAGGTTAGAGGTAGGCTGTGACCCAATAGCAGATCTCACCCAGTAGTTGAAATTGCTACTATCACCACTACTTTAAATTAAAATTGTAATGGTATTAGGCAGTGGTTTGGGCTTTGGGAAAAATCAGGTTGTGAGATATATTCTGTATTTCTGAATTTCCAGCTAGTGTAACTAGTTAAAGAGTTCTTTTTGCATATGGCTCCTTAAAAATGCTTAAGCCTGTGTGTATAGAAAATGTAGCAATGTAGTAAGCTCTATATTTGTAAAGGAATTTGGAGCTGACCTTGTGGAAGATGTGAGAAAGCTTTTAAGTGGAGGGGCCGAGAAAGGAGCTGGGCATTAAGGGGACTTGGGGAAGAGTTCACACAGTCCTGAGATAGTAGGAAGTGTGAAAAAGAAACTTAAAATAGTTTAGTAGAAGGTGGGTCAGAGAGAAAATTGGACAGGCTTTCAAGATATTGTTACTCTACCTTACTACAATAAAGAGCATTCCTGGAATCCCTGCCATACTTGTTCCTTGACCTGGCCTACCTCACAGAACTGACAGTATTGTAAAACCTCTACCCAGTGTCAGTTTATCTGTTCAAGGAAACCAAATTATCCCAGCTCACAACTTCTCTTATCATTGAGCAGTATTAGTTTATATTTCACCACTTGCTTTGTGTTATGTTATGTGATAGGATACAATGTCTGACCATTATATAAGACCCAAGTTGTTACATGTTTGTAAAGGAGTAAGTAATTTCTTAGCTCATACAAATGGAAAAATTGTTAAATTGTTAAAAAATAACAGCAGTTTTTAAATGCAGTGTATTATGACATTCTTGCAGCATAATAAGTTTCAAAATGAATGAATACTATGCCTATATAATCAAGAGAATAACAAAACAAGAATAGAGACTGAATATTATTCAACTTTATCAGGATACAAAAGCCTAACTGTCTCTATAAAATAGGTGCCACGTGTTCCAATTTTTCTTCATTCACTTTCTTGAACAAAGCAGTAGTGTAGTTTCATTACTAAGTGCCAGATATCTCAGTCCTCTCAGCAGTGAAAGTAAGTTTCTGGATGTGCTGTTTAGAGAGAATGTTTATTGCATTTTTCTTTTGCTATGTCAAAATTCTTTGTTAGTATTTGTTCTGTTTATGAGGTAGATAGGATTCTGGGAATTAATATCCTTTATTTTTTGTTTGCTTTCTCATCAGTGTGCATAACCCATGTTCTTAAAAAATGCATTGAAATTCTAGAGGATTGCATATTGAGAGAATCCATTGAAGGTGTTTGTGGATGTTATTATAGATTGAAGATTTGGAAGAACAAAACCAGTGTCACATAAGCAGACTTCAGTTCAAGCAAAATGATTTTTACCACTTCTGTTCTTTTTATACAGTGTCCCCTACCCAAATCTAGTTTCAGGTCTCCAGAGCATGTTTTAAGGTTATGTGGGGGCTAAAGTGGAACGGAGGCATTCTGTTGGTAAAAGGGGTTAATTTATTTTGGGAAAGAAACTTTGGGCAGCAACAAAGCACAGCTGATAACCTTAGAGCAAATGGCCATCAAAGAATGATAATCTATTCCATCCAAAGCTAGCAGAAAATTCTGTTTCATGGTTTTAAGTTTTATTATCTACAAATTTTCTAGAAATAGCATATACCATTTGTTTTGTTTCAGTTTTCTGCCCCTCCCCATCTGATTTCTTTCATGAGGCTGCAATCATGGTGTTTACATATACTTTTCTTCAAAAGTATAAAATATGTTTATAATTAGGAAAGATAAAACCATAAAATTTCTAAGTTTAAGAAAATTGATGACAGACTATATATGGTGTAAAATGATCTTGTTTGCTGATTTATGGTATGTGCCTGATTCAAAAACAGCTTTAGGTTTTTAATTAATTTGTGAAATTTAATTTTAATATTAGGCAGTTATATGTTTAATACTTCTTTCTCTATATTCCAAATATTAATATTCCAAATATTATGTAAAAGTTTGGTGGCTGTTTTTACAGACTTCATGTTCCTAAAACATGTTTGTCATGAACACTTGGGTTCTTGGGAATCTTTCAGCATTCAAAATCTTTCTTGTGAATTTTTTCCCAAGTCAACAATATCTTGGAACTCAAAGCTTTTTTGTCATTGAGGAAAAAGATAATAAGCTTTCTAATGAAATGCCTTTTAGATCTTTTTTTTCCCATCTGGGAAAATTTTTTTAGAGTTGAACCATTTAAACAGCTGAAGCAATAAGTTCTGTGAATTGATTGCTTTCTTTGTCAAGGAACCTATCTATTTTGGAAGAAAGTACTTTATTAGTGAATGAAATAATTTCATTAGTGGGAAATAGCTTTTGGTCATGCAGGCCAAATGAAATGCAAGAAAGGCTTCTGGCAAGAGTGACAACAAACATGACAGAAAGAAAGCACACATTCCTTTGCCTGGTGTCTAGTGGTTCCATGGCAGTAAACCCAGGAAGGATCATAAATTATGCTGCCAAAATAATTAATTCATTGGGTGTTTTTAAGATAACAGACTCCCAGAAAATTAAAGTCATGAAAAGGATACAAAACAAGGCACTGAGATTTCAAAATTTAGGGCTGTGATTTTGCCTGCATTAATTTGTCTTTTTTTAAAAAAAAGATAAAATGCTTGATACAAAAATACTTTGTGATATATAATCAGTCTTTCAGGTTAGTCCTCCATCACTATCTGGCAAAGATCAGTGAATCTAGAATTAAGAATTTTTTGAAAAGCAATACACAGATACATTCTACGTTAAATAGCCCTATAACAATCCATTTAAAATTTTCATACATCCTTCATTTTTCCAAGGCCTTCATGGCTGCTCTACCAAATGCTAGTTTGTGGCATCATCAGCATAGAACAGAATTCAAGGAAGCTGGATTGGAAGAAGATGCCTGTGGTTATACAGATAGTCCTCACTTAGTGACCACAATTGGGACTGGCAACTTGGCCGTTAAGCTCCAAATCATGTGACTGCAATTTATGATTTTATTTTCCTCTTCTCCATTCTCTGATTGTCACAAGCCTGTTACAAAGCACACAAATGGCAATTGTGGGACACTGCGACAGTTGTCAATGCGCACTGCTTGTGAAGCACCTGAATAGTGATCACATGACTGCAGGATGCTGCAACAGCCATAAAAGTGAGGATTGGTTGCAAAGTTGTCTTTGTCATAACTTTGAATGGTTGCTGCATGAGGCCCAATTCCAGTCCCAATTACTGTAGTTAATCAAGGACTACCTATATAGCTAAGTTTTTAGATTATATTGATTCTTATCAGAAATTGTACTTCAGGGATTTAAAATAAAAGTGATATATCCTCCAATTGCTTAATTTTGTACTAGAGTGCTGTGATATCTATTGGGTATAAATACTGATTATTTCTGTTACAGTGTCTTTATGAATGAGGTACTGAATTGCAACTAAACAGTTTTTCTGCTCTGCATTCTTGTGATATACTTTCAAGACAGATAAAATATCTGTTATAGAATGGTTCTGTATTTAAAGATACTAATTTGGGTACTCTTTGTTTACAGATTTCTTGTTTAAGTTTTTGGTAATTGGAAATGCTGGAACCGGCAAATCTTGTTTACTTCATCAATTCATTGAGAAGAAATGTAAGTAAAATTGCTTTTTGTTTTTTTGTTTTTGGCAGCAAAATCCTATCCATATTGGAATTTGTAGGTAGTAGCATTTTACTAATCTTCATATGATGACATTCCTTAAAAAGTGTTACTAATTAAGTATGCCAGAAATGTATGAACATGGTTGTAGAAGAGTATGATTTATTCCAGTTAGTTTCTTTTGAATTGTGTGAGGTCATCTAGAACTTGCTCTCATGTCTTCATTATGAGAGAGGATATATGACCTTACAAGTCAAAGCAATTTATGGAGATACATCCAAAGGAATGTAGGACAGTCCATACATTTGATTTGTGTATCATTGTGACTTGCAGTGAAAGCATGATAGAGGTGATTTTAATTATGGATTGGCTAAATTTAGAAATTCTGTAAAAATGTCTTTAAGACAAAAGAATTCAGATATTGAAGCTCCTCACCACCCAAGATAAGGCATAACATATAGTGGGGGACTTTAATCCCTCCAGTATTTGTTGAGAGAGAAACTGCCGAGCATGACCTTTCCAAGAATGTCCTCGCTTGTCTTGCTAACAGCTTTGTCCTTTAAAAGGTAGAGAGAGCCCCAAGAGCATCAGCCATTTTTGACTTGATGCTAAATAATAGGGAAGTCTTAGACAAGAAACAACAAGTGGCAGAAACATTTGAAGAAAGTGGCTGTGTTTTGTTGGAGTTTGTGATGTTAAGAGAAACTAAAACAGTTTGTAGTGAAGAAAGCAGATAGAAGAAAGAAAGACTTGAAGCAAGCAGGTAGATCAGGCAGAGAGAGAGTGACTACCCTTATGGCTAATGACAGATTTGAATTTGGTCTCTTGGACCACATCTTAACGCTACAACACACCAGCTTATTTCTGTGTTCAAAACTTGTTTCACGCTAAGCAAGTTTTCAGAATTCAGTATGATAAAATGGATTATAAGCAGCAGAAATGACTGATAGCACATGTGATAGCTCAGAAAGTAAAACTGATCGGTGTTTTTTTAATGAAATCATTTTTCAATTAATAGCTCAGAAGTTCAAAATACTGTTCTAAATTATATACTCTGTCCAGAATGCTTACAAACCTAATGTCTTATTATTTATGTTTTCTTCTGATTTTTAGCTTTTAATACATTGGCAAAACAAAGATGTTCTATTTTTTAGAGTTCATAGTGGCTTCTGGCTTAAGTTTAATTCAGTTTCCAAGCATCTAATTACTGTATAAATCAACAGATTACCATAGTGACTTTATGAGCATTCCAACCTTTATGTAATACATTATATATTCTGACAATAACACAATGAATTTAAATTTCTATACTTTTTAAAAGTATTTAAGGTTTTCTATTTATTTCTTTTTTCTGGCTTCTAAAGTTCCGTAATGTTTGCATTTCTACACTGAAGACAGTGAGCTGTAACATAACTTGTTTGGGTCTTTAAATTATATGTAATCTAAATATACCATAACTTTAATTCTTCATTAAATGATCAATTTTACTGTTTTGAATGAAATAAATAATGTTTTATAAATGTCCTTATTTATAATCATTTAAATTATGACCCTTGCCCTTTAACTGAAGTTGAGTACTAATTAAAACTTTTTCTGTTATAGTCAAAGATGACTCAAATCACACTATAGGAGTGGAGTTTGGTTCAAAGATAATAAATGTTGGAGGCAAATATGTAAAACTACAGATATGGGATACAGCTGGACAAGAACGATTCAGGTATAATTTCATGTTAATAAAGTAAGAAAAAACAATTCCAAGATATAGGTATTTTCAGTATTTCTGTTAAAGTGAAGGCTACTTTCCTTCTTGTGACCTTATAACATTTTTATAGTCAACCAAGTATAGTTGTGCTGATAAAACAGTAACAAGAATAGGCTTTATGTCACCTCAGCAGTGACTGTATAACACTAGAAGATGCCGTAACTTATCAAGTGGGGATCCTAATTGTGTTGCAATTATCTGAAAAATTCTGATAATTTCGGTCTGGCTAAAAAGAAACACATTTGGAAAGTTAGTATTTGGAAAGAAAGTATTGAAAATTTCAATACTCTCATTGAAATGGTGGAATACGTAGATGTTTAACACTAGTTTTGTCCTGCAAGTGCAAACCTAAGCAAGCACTGTAGTTTGTGCTTGCAATTTTAGCACTTCATAGAACTCAAATTACTGTCATTTTAAGTACTATGATTTTTTTTCTTTATATAGGTCTGTAACACGAAGCTATTACAGAGGTGCTGCAGGTGCTTTACTTGTTTATGACATCACCAGGTAAAAGAAAAATATTAGAGAAATCTTAGGTACAGATAAAATCTGGGTAATCCTTTCATATGCTTTGGGGGGATATGGCATTTTCTTACAGCTAATAAGTATTCTACACATAAACCAAGTTATCAAGGGAACAGCCACTGCCTCTATACCTTCTTTCTAAGTTAATTTCACAAATGCTTTTGACAATTAGCGATACAGGTCCTGGTCTATAATAGGGAAGTCTGTTTAAAACTTCCTATGTATCTGACTGCCTGCATGCATCTGTCTGGATGTGTTAGTCAAATAGATAAAAACTTGCACGGATTATGTTTTGTCTATTTCTGAGAATGTTTCTTTGATGTGACTCTTCACCAGAAACCTCCTCAGCTCTTTGATCCTAGTTTTACTACAAATGCATCTCAGAATGTTGACGTCCTCCTGGGAATTGAATACAAAATATACATCTTGGAATCATAGCTGAAAGCATTGGATCAACATTCAGTTACTTGCTTTCTGATCTAAGCTCTTCTGGCTATCTTGCTGTTGTCATAGTTTCAGCTCCCATAGTGCATTAATCTAGGTCTTGATGTAAGAGTAACACTGAATATTTTTGTGACATCTGCAAACGGCAGTCTACTCTTAGCTGTACCTGGAAATACTTGACAGCTTTGTATCTTGTTATTGTGTAATAGCTTCTTTGCAGACTTCTACCAGATACGTATGCAAGTACAGCAAAATATTTCTATAAGGGTGTTGTGGGTTGTAAATATTAATACAAAACAATTTCTCATTTGATTTAGTCGAGAAACCTACAATGCACTTACCAACTGGCTGACAGATGCAAGGATGTTAGCAAGTCAGAATATTGTAATAATATTATGTGGGAACAAAAAGGATCTTGATGGAGATAGGGAAGTCACTTTCCTAGAAGCATCCAGGTTTGCTCAAGAAAATGGTAAGTAGTTTTCATGATGTCTAATGTCTTCTTGATAAAGGACTGTAGTGAAAATTTCCCCCCGCAAAAATGCTCAGAATGAAATGGAGGCTTTAGGGAAGAAATTTTATAAGCCTTCCTTGTTTACTTTTTCCACACGTTGTCTGTTTTCAGGTGCTGTTTTGCAGTCTGCTTGAATGTGTCTTTTGTGTTTAAAACAACACAACCAGTCTAAGTGATCATATAGGAATATGTTGTCATGTAACTAATTAGATTTGGTTACATGATGACATTGTAAGAATAGACACCTTTGTCCTGTTGTTGGACTCCCTTAATGATCAAAGTCAGGGAGGGTAAAGGAGAAGGTAAAAGAAAGATCTTAATGAACATCCCTGAATTTTGGCTTATGCCTGGGTACATATACTGTACTAACTGATTAGTCATATGCTTGTTATATTGTTATATGCTGGTTACTCTATAATTGGACTCTTGATTCAAAGCTATAGCTGAAAGCCTCCAGGGTTAAGAATAGGAAATTAAATCTAGTTAGCAGCAGGGTTCTGCAGAGAGAACTGCGCTACTTAAAAACATTTGTATTCTTTGTGCTGTTGCTCCCCAACTCTTTACAGTGGAAACTTGGAATCAAAGCTGTTCCTGCTGTGCTCCAGCTGGTGTGCAGCAAATTCAGCTCTATTTTGACTATGTCATGCCTTCCCAGATAGAGAAATGAGCCATATCAAACCAAAGCCACACTTGAAAGGATTTTAGCTGCTTTATGCAATTCCTTCCTCAGTGAGGAAGAAGCAAGCATATCATAGCATAATCTGACCTTGTCTTTTCATAGCAATATTAATTTGTGTACTTTTTGAATGTTTTTAAAATTGTTTTTATGGTCTGTTTGTATGCCGAGAGTCACGTCACGTGAGATGGGTGGCCATATAAATATGATAAATAAGTAGCAAAGCAGAGCTGCATCTGAATGTTCTTCAGATATAATGCAAGCAAATGCAGCTATTGGCAATGTTGGATATATTTTCTCTGGGGAGAAAGTTGTGCTTGCAAGCAGTCCAATCTGAGAATGTGTAAATATGGTTCTTGGTCCCCTTGGCAGTGTTCCACTTGAAGATATTTCATGTAGGTTAGGATATTGGAATATCCAGTACATGTGAATCTTTCTGTTAGTGATAAGGAGAAGGTTTTGGATGGAGCTTTAGGGAAGGGTTCTTGCTCAAGGACTAACAGTTAGATTTTCCCTATCTGTGTTCTAGGATCCTCTTAGTTGGAGAAATGGAAGTTATTTTCCTGGTTAGAATTTTCTCCTAAATCTATTTTGTTTTCTCCAATGTAGGCTGCAGTATAGTATGTTCTTCTCTGGGAATCAGTCCTGTTGAATTCAGTGGGGTTTACTGCTAAGTGGACATAGATAGAATTGTCTTAGAGATCTACAATAAGAGGAATTGGTAAAAATTGGTCAGGGAAACCTTGTATTGGGAGAATGTGATAATGCATATGGATATATTGCATTTAAAGCTGAAAGACCATTATTGAGTCATTTTGAACAATGATCAAATAAATTTTATCTATTTTTTACTGTTACAGAGCTGATGTTTTTGGAAACAAGTGCATTGACAGGGGAGAATGTTGAAGAAGCCTTTGTACAATGTGCAAGAAAGATACTTAATAAGATTGAGTCAGGTAATCATAATCCAAGTTTCAATTATTATTAAAATATTTTACCTAGGATTAAACAACTTAATGTTTCTGAAATGATAAAATGCCCCTGGATTAAGTGTGCTTTTCCTTTGTTGTAAAATTCTACCTGACCATAACCTGTGTCTTGTCAAAGATGTTAAGGATGATAAGTTTATCCAAACAATAAATTTAATACCTAACTGATCAAATTTAATGCTTTCTGTCAAAGCTATGCCGTCAGTTTTAGTTATTTTCCAGTGCAGAAAGTAAAGAGATTCATTATGAGACATTGTATATAAGGATTTGTCATAAGAAAGAAAAATCCTTTAGTCAGTATAAATCTTTTAACAGGTGACAGATGTGATGTATTTTTAATATATTGCTTGGAGGTTTTCTTTGTAACATCTGAAAACATTTAAAACACTATTTCTGAACTAACTGTTCTATGAAACATTAAGATGTGGTGCTAATGCAAGCAGTCTCAGATTCTGATCTCCAGCTTCTACCAACATGTGCTACCTGTTTTTATAAATCTCTCAACTAAGAGGAAGGAAATCCCTTTTGTTTTGTCTGACAGATCAGACCAGGGAATATTATTAAATAGTGGTTCACCAAAAAATGTCCTATGTCATTAACATAAACTACAATTATAGAGAAAAATGTGTGTGTTTTTATTTTAAAAGTAAAGTGCAAGATTTGTGTGTCTTTGCTTTATATAATATTATGGGGAAGTTCCTTAAGTGTGATGGATATCTTCTTATAATTTAAGTTAAATTCAAAATGTTTTTTAATCTTATATATGGTTTCTGTTTTATATAAGAAAAAGAAAATGTATTTTGTTTTATCAGGTGAACTGGATCCTGAAAGGATGGGCTCAGGAATTCAGTATGGAGATGCTGCTTTGAGACAGTTAAGATCTCCACGGAGAGCACAGGCTCAGAGTGTTCAAGAATGTGGCTGTTAAAAGCAAGCAACAAAGAAACTTCTTGTTTTATGGGGGGGAAAAGGTGTGTATTAACAAGTTAGTATCACTTTTGCTTCAGTTTAGTACAGTAAAAAATAGCTTTTCAAAGATTTTTAGCATAGATTATAGGCTATCTTAAAGCATTCACATACATTTGCTTGCAATGCAAGAATTAATTTCAGTGGCCACTTACTATTTCAGTTGAAACTGGTTCATAAGTTCTTCTAGAAATCTTAGGAAGAGCCATTCTTTCTGACAGTTTTGCAGTTAATACTTTCTTAGCAATTTCATATATCTGTGCATAACTGACTAAAAAGAGAAGAATCATCCTTACCTAAAAAGAGTTGAGACTGAAGTTTTCAAGCCTTTTACTTAGTATTTCTGTAGGCCCCAGAGTTGAGAACAGTCAGTTCCAAAGGAACTTGCTTTAAGGTTACCATTTTAATCTGGTTGATGTTTCAAGTTTGTCTTCTGTCTCTTATCTAACCTTCCATTCAGTTAGTATGTATCACTTTTGAACTTAATAACTGAAATAATAATGGAATAACCAAGTAGTAACTAGTCCAAAAGCTCTCTGTTAAAAACATCAATAAGTGAGATAATAAGTGACTCATTAATATAAAAATTCTGTAACTTTATTCCCTATTCTGTCTGGACATTTTGAATATAGCCTTGCTATGAATATAGAATGCTGGTAAGAGTGCTTTATATTTGTGTTAAAAATGACTTCAGCATTGCAGTTACAATCTGCATTAAACTATAATCTCTAAAATTCTTAACTGAGAAACTTCATTTTATAAAAAGTTTGTTTTTTATTATTTATTTATCATATTTATATAACTGCCCATCTCACACAAAGTCCCCACTTTATTTTATAAAATAGTATAACATAAATAACTACATAAAACATACAAGAATATAATACAATGTAAAATAGATAACAAAACGTACTACAATTTAAAAACAGTGGTTAACCAACATAAAAAAAACTTGAAGATTCAGTAACATCTCAATACATGTTCTTTTCCACAAGAAAGAGTGTACCCTTTGTCGCTTGAAGTATCCATTACATTTCTGTGTCACCTTTTCCCTATCATGCTATCTTCCTGAAAGCCTATTTTGATGGATTGGGTATTAGGTGAAGAAATAATAACTAGTCCAAAATCATTCAGTGAACTTCATTATTTTCTGAATTTTTCTCTATTGATTAATGAGCTACACAGCTGATATAATTCCTGATATATTTTTCAATAATGCTAAAGGATTATCACCTTGAACTAAAATGTGCTGTTCTTGAAATAATTATTATTCCTAGAATATTTATGTAATCACCTACAATGATTTTAGGTACACCTACACATAGTATATACATACAAACACTTGACAGTGACTCACATGGAAACATGGAGAATGGCGTAAGTGTCAAAACATAGCACAGCCCGCCTCCATTTTTCTAATTTTAAAGACAAGTCTTTCAAAACTTCCCTTTTTGCAACAATAAGAGAGGGTCACATTTTTTAATATATTTCAACTTTTGGAGGTGATGTGATGAGAAGAGGCAAGGCTCACATTTTTTGGCTTTTGAGGTATAAATATTTGGTGGTTTGGAGTTTTTGTTTGTTTTTAAATGAAACGTAGGTGCTTTAAGGCTAGTATGAGAGCCAGTTTGGTCCTGTGGTTATGATGTTGGATTAGGAGCAGGGAAACCTGAGTCTTGCCTTAAGCATGAAAGACAGCTGAATGATTTTGGGCCAGTCGCTCCCTCTTAACCCTAGGAAGAAAGCAATGGCAGACCACTTCTGAAAATACTGCCTTAAAAACTACAGGTAGTCCTTGCTTAATGTCCATTCATTCAGTGACCATTCGAAGTTATGACAGTGCTGAAAAAATGGACTTGTGACCAGTCCTTGAAAATTACTGTTGCAGTGCTCCTGTGGTCATATGATGAAAATTTGAGCCAGCCTGCATTTATGACCACCATCCCCGCTATCCCCCCAGCTGACCATTATCTTTGCCAGACTCCCCTCTTCTGGGCTCACCATCCCAGCCACATGCAGGGAGGTGCTGCGCCTTGGGGGTTTCTTCCCGTGGCTCTGGTGCTTCTTGCAGCCTCGTGTACCTTCCCCCACCTGGCAGCAGCCACCCCCAACCCTGCCATGCCTTGACAGCCACCCACACAGCCAATCACACCTTCCCCAGACCTTCTGTGCTTGCACCTCACCGGCCCCCTGTGCACACCTCCCCTAGCTCTGCTACACTCACGTCTCACCGGCCATCCACGCACCCTCCCCCAGCTCTTCTGCACTCACGCCTTGACAGTCACTTGTGTGCTCTCCCCCACCTGGCAGCAACCACTTCCCTGCCTGCCGGCCTGCTTGCAAGCTGCCTGGGATTTGCATCTTCCTACCGGCTTCCCCACTGACTTTGGTTTTTGGAAGCTGTCAGGAAGTTGCGAGATCTTCTCTTAATGATGGCAATGGGGACTGCAGAGATTGCTGTCACAAAGCGATGCGGTCACATGATGTCACACTTTCTGACCGCATCTCTTAGTGATGGAAACTCCAGTCCCATTTACCATCGTTAACCGAGGATTACCTACTTGGATTTGTCCATGTAATTACCAAAAGGCAAAGGCAAAAAAAAAAAACCCTCCCTAAAATGCAATTTACTGCTTAATTTTAGTAGTGTAATCTAGGGGATCTGTGGGTGTTGCAAAAATGTGGCTTGAACAATCACATGAGGCTCCAGATTGCCCACTCTACTTAGGTGATAAAGATATCTGCAAATGTATACATTAGTTATCTTAACCTTGATTACCCTTGCCAGCCTTTCCCTTTTCCGAAGTATATCTCTAAATTTAAATCTTTTAACACTGAAATACTATTTATTTTTCAGCTCTCCTTTCAGATGTTTAATGAAAAACTGCCATTGCTGCAAGGCTCTGCATTTTTAGAACTCCTTTTTGATTCAGCAAAACAGAACATATGGTATTTTTTAAAAAAAAAGTACAGTGGAATGGCAGAATGAGACTGCAAAAAAGAACATTTGGTAATACAATGGACAATACTGAGATTTAAAATACCTGTACGTAAATATTTTCTGTTACATATTTGTGTTTCTTATTGTTACTTAAAAACACTGGTGTATCACATGTATATACAATGTTGTCATTAAATTTCCAAAGCATGATATACTGACATGATATTGCACTAACACTGTTTTTTTTTAATTAACTAAAATTTTAACTCTGGTAGGCATTATCATGTTTCAGGGTTTGTTTGTTTTTTTTTACAAAAGCTTCTATTTATGAGTTGACATTGAAAGCTACTGGCATTGACTGTCAGTGTTTTATTTGCCACTTTCTACAGGGGCTTACCTGAACTATTTTTTGAAAATTGTTAGGTCATATGTTTACTAATCTGCATACTGAAAAAAAAAATTTTTTTTACTGACGCATAGTTGTTCTTGTTTCTTGAAATTCTTAAATGCGTTACCAGTTTGTCAAATGTAAGCTATAAATACAGTTGTGAACTCAGAGCTTGCTGCTGTCTGAACTTGACTGGGGAAATTATTTTTTTCTACATTTTAGACTGTAACTAAGAATTGTAGTTTCAAGTAAAAAGATAATGCCTACTTGTTTGCCACTCCAGAGAAGTGTTTGAAGTTGTCAATCACCATTATCTGATTTAAAAAAAAGTAATTTCTATCTGTAAGTCTGTTCAGGTTATCCTCAGTTAAAAAATAATTTTTAACGAAAGGTAGGATAGTTACACCTGAGAGAGAATTGCTTCAATACTTACGCCTCTTACAAACTGTAGGTTTGTGGAAGTTTAATCTAGAAATGCAACATGGACTAGACAAAGTTATACTTTTATGTAGTAAATCTGCACAAAGCTCCATCTTCTCATGCAAATCTTTCTGTGCCACTGTGAAAGAAAAACATTTTGCTTTCATAGTAGAGAAATGGACACTTCTTAGAATCACCTTGGAATATGAAATTTTGACTTTGCTGAAGGGGCTGTAAAATAGTCTCTTTGACTATTCCTGGCATATCTGAAAAGCAACATTTCTGATTTTGGAAACTGAAACAGCATATGAGGTTTCTGGGTAATTGAAGGTTTTGGTATGGCTGAGTGAGGAAGAAAGTTCTTTTGATTCTGTATCATCAACTAAAAAAGCAGCTTTTCAGCTGCCTCATACCTGAATGAGTGTAATTGTTAATATTGATGTTAACTAAAAATCTTACTGCCTTAGAGCCAAAATAGATGAATCCACATGGGCGTTATTGTATGTATATTTGAAATGCAGCCACAATGAGGTGGTGAGTGTGACTAATGCTGTGGGTCATTTTCAATGGTCACTGGTTAGCAACAAGGAAAGACCTAAGCACTTTCCCCTTATCAGCTGTTTTGTTTGAAATTTATTTAATAGAAATATTGGTATGTTGCTTTCCCATCCTAATATCATCCAGGGCATTTTTATAACAAAAAACAATTTGAAAAAAACTCTTAGTGAAAGTCCTAAAAACTCCATACCATTGCCTATAAAATATTTCAAGAGGTGCAGAGTCCAACAGCCAGATGTTAAGACTAAAGTTGATATTAAATACTTCAATAATCATTACTGTTATCATTACAAAACAGCACAGGAAAATTAAACTGAGTACCAAAAAAAAAAAAAAAGGCATAATTAGGCTGATTTTGCCTGGTACCTGAATTAAAACGAAGCTAGCATTAAATTGATCACTTTTATGAATGAGTTCCATAACCAGTATGCATCCACAGCATAAATCACCAAGTAACCTGCAGTTTATAATTAATGGGAGCATCCAGATGAAATGTTCTAATATACATTTTAGAGAGATTTCTACCTGTCCATCAAATTTATAGTCCCTTCGTGGTTGCATTTCAGTAAAACATGGCTTACGAGAGCTCATGACTTTTTAATGGGCATCTGGGTGAATTTGGTTTGGGTCTTTCTTTGTGGTCAAGGTGAATTGATTATACAGGTTACAAACAAATTAGTCATTAGAGTATAAAATGGCTATTATAATGCTTTGAGATAAATGGGAATCTTCCTTTGTAGCAATTTGTTTTTCAAAAAGTTAATGTGAACAAGAATAACGTGTACTGATGTAAGCAAAATGATTCACATCACAAGAGTATGTTCCTCTGGAACACAATCTGAATTCTGGTACTTACAATTTAAAGAAATGAAAGCAAAATTTACTAGCATGCAGTATCTGTATTGATGTGTATTTAGTTCATCGCATGAGTTTATACAGCATGGATGTTTAAATGGCTTTTAAGAAGCACTTTTTGTCTCCTCTTTTTATTGTGGATTTGCTAATGCTATAGTTCCTAATGTAAATGAAGAATCCAAAGAAGCTAGGCAGATCTCCTGATCAATCTGTTATGTATCATTGGAAGTCCTCTCTTTCCCTCTTCAGAACTATCGTAAAGCAACATTGTGTCTTTAAATTTCAGGGAAGAGCAGAGCCAGATCTTTGCCATTCTGTAGTTGTTATGGGCATTCTTGTAGTCTTCCTACGCACTGCTCTTACTTTTTTTCCTGCATATTCATGTGCAGTAATATCTGCTTTAAAACATTACGTGGAATAAGTACAATAATGTGTTCTTTCAGTCTTAACACAGGGTACCTAGGAAATGAAACTGTTGCAAAGAGTGGGAGAAGACAGTGAAAATAGGACAAAAAAGGGTTGAGGGTTCCTGTCATTATTATGCAGAAATGAATGTCCTTTTCTGTTGCTAGCAGTGTTTGTAATGGAGAACTTGAAGCATCATGGCTTATGCTTATGTAGGGATACTGTGGGTAAGTGTTCCCTTCTTTCCTTTTCTCCTCCCTCCCCCACTTGTGAGTGCAAAAGCAGTTGTGATGAGCTCTAATTCTTTTTTTCCTCAGTTAATTTAATAAATGGCATTTCACAAACTCTAACTTCGCTCGCTTAGATAAGAACTTTAGTTCGTTTGGGGCTAAAGTTAGCTTGGTACCAATAGATGGATATTGTGGCTGCAGTTCTGAAAGCATTGTTTCTTTCAGTATTGTATGCTGCAGGCCTGCTTATATTGAGATCAGCTATATATCTGCAAGTTAATCTAAATGCAGAGTTGAGAGGAAGCTCTAGGGGAAGACAAGAAAAGATCCATTCTTTTTCATGCCCACAAATTCTCCCTAAATCCTTCTTATTCTCCCCTCCATAACAAGAAGTTTTTTTCTGTTTTAGACAGAGGAAGAAACCATCTGGATAAGGATTAAAACTTCCATGCTACCAGCTTTCCATTGCATATGCTTTTCTTCCTTTACAAATTTTATTTATTACTTTAGTTATTAAAAACATTTATATAGCCACCCATCATGAGCCACTCTGGGCGACTCACAGCCCAAAAATAAACCAGTATCTGTCTACAATAAAATAAAAACGTTAAAGACCTGGCACCACAGCTAAACTTTCTCATGCAGTCCATAAGAAGTTCATCCCACTAATCTCACCCTATCCCAGCACTTGGGGGGAAAGCCAAGTCTGAAGTGCTTTTTGAGAGGTTAAAAGGATGGGGGCCTGCCAGACCTCAGGGGAAATGGTGTTCCATAGGGCAGGGGCTGTTATGGAAAAGGCACACTTCCTAGATCCCAAAAGATGGCAACATTTAAGGGAAGGGTCCAGGAGCATGCCTACCCTATCCATTCTGATAGGATGGGCAGATGTTCTTAGGGAGAGGTGGTCCCACAAATACCTGGTCCCGTGCCATATAGGGCTTTAAAGGTAATAACCAGCACTTTGAATTGCACCCAGAAGGAAACTGAGAGCCAGCCAATAAAGTACGCCATGGAAAATCCTGTGCTTCCCTTGTAATATGTAATTCCCCATTCAAGAGTTTAAAAATGGCAGTTGAATTCAGCACTGAGTTTCACATATTGGAATACTGTAGGTTTTTAATGCAATTCAAGGGTGCTGAATTGCTGTCTCTTTTAGTTTAATTCCAGAAATAGGAACTCCAGGAGTTTCAGCATTGTTATATTTGAGCTCAAGACAGGATGTACTTGGCATTTGTGTCTAAAAATAAAAGTGCATTTACATAGTATTAGTATACATAAAAAATGCATGGTTCCTGAATTGTAAAGATTTTACAGTGCTGCTTAATGTCATTAGAGAATGTTATTCAACAAAGGAATACAACGTTTTGTTTAAATCTATTAATGCAGGCTTCTTTTGGGGGAGGGTATGGATGAAGAATTCTGTTTCCAGCTAATCAGGCTTTTCATGCAAATCACCGTAGTCAAATAAGTAACGTCTCCATTGTGCAACCCATGCGTTTACTTCCTGTAATTGAACACCCAGTTCAATTTTCCTAAATTTAATTCATGTGAAGAGTACTTTCTCAATATGTAAAAAATGACATGCTTTACTATATTTATTGAACAGCCCCATATAGCAAATGCAGATTTCAAACCATGACTTAAGTCAAAGGGCTTTGGCAAAACCTGACTACGAAGACAAGTGCAATACTGTAGACCATGACTGTGTGTCATTTGCTATAATTACAGTAGAATGGATCTGTTTTACCAAAGGTTTGTCCTTACTCATGTGACTTCTAGATACCGATATTTCATCTTTCTTTTTGTTAATTCAGAATACAATCTTAGAGGGGTTTTTTCCCCCTTAGTACAAGAGTCACTTCAGTTCCCTTGGGGAATGCAAGAAAAAGATCAAGTGTTCTTTGGCACCATAGCATGTTCCTGAAAACTGAAGAGGGCAGTTTCTTTAAAAACTTTCATATGACTTACTGTATGTCTTGTAATTGGTCAACCCAGCCACATGAAATGTGAATTGATGAATAAATACAGTTTTAAAGGACTTTTTTTCTGTCATGTAGGAAGAGAAACAATGCTAAATAATAAATAGTACATTCCTGTTTTATTTTAGAAGACAAAAAAGGTAACATGAGAAGAAATGGTACAAATACTGAATTCTAACCAATATAATTTTCTCTTGGAAAGTATTAGCAATTTTGATAAACTGCATATTGTCTATTAAGTATAAACTTTCTGAATATTAGATTACTATTGAATTCAGCATATAGTGAAAACTCAATACAATGGACTTTGCATGCAGTGGACCCCTTTCCTTGGCAATTTGTGTAATGTCATCATGCAGATGATGCAATATGCATCATTTGCATGTTATGCAAATGTCATTTGCATTATGACAATTGATACAAAATAACATATATTGCAATAATATGCTTTGTGGGACAAGCAAAATCATCTGCTAACATCTTGAATCATGCATGCAGCCTATTGTCATTTGAATGTGGATCACTGTTCCTAGTCTGGAAATAAACATGGAACCATTTGATGAAGGTTTATTTGGTCTAATTTACCCCTTAATAGTAGAATAACTTTTCTAATAAAATTGTGAAGAGCCTACTACTAAAAAGTGGGTGAAGAAAGAGAGGTGTCTGATCTCTAAAATTTCTGAAGTCTTGCACATTTTTTCTCAGCTGTGTAGTCTAATAGTTGACTTCATATATGTAATTTAAATGCAGTCATGTGATTTTATTAAGAGACTGTCAGAATTAATTTTTCAAGTCAGTTTTATTCACATATTCAAAGTCATGGCAAATACAGTTAAATTTAAAGAACACAAAAATATTAGAAAAACATACCATTTAGAAACATATTCTAAGTCACATATTGCTTCAAGCTTAATTTTTTCAGGCTTTAAAGTGATTTCAGTGCTCCTAATTGAGAAAACTTTTACCTCTGATTTCTAACCTCCCCCCCCTTTTTAAATTGATTGCACATGGGAACAGTGACTGTCAAGTTTATGGCTTTGCAGCCAAGAACCCTCCCTTTGCTCACCAATTCCTAGGGCTCAGCAACCAGCCCCTAGCCACAAACTGTAGTTTGACTTTGAGCTATGCTTCTTGAAGAATTATGCTATTACCTTGGTTCAGTTAACCCTAAGTCACAACTGATACAGCCAATATATCATTCCTCCCAATGTTGATATTATTTGGAAAGGAGTTGATAGTATATGCTCTAGTTCCATAAGCCAGTACATAATGCTATATCTCAGACAAGATTACTTTCTCTGTGCACCTAGAGAAAAAATGTACAGGTCATCTTTAATGCCATTCTGGAATGAACAAAGGTTCCAGTAGATGTCTAGATTTCACTTTAAATGCATTTGTTGTTTAAGATTAGTGGTTTCCAACTGAAGTAGGCACCTCTACTGGGGGTGAGGAGGACGTACCTAGCAAGGAAGATTTTGTAGCAGTTTTGAGCAGAATGGCTGTATTTCAAACACCAAAGATACTGTGGTACATCCATTGTTATTTTTCTGCTGGTACTAAAGTTGGCACAAGAGGAAACTTCTAGGCACCTAAAACCTGCATAATCTACTACTGAATTTTAACCCTCCAACACTAATGTTAGTGCTCTGGTCTATATGTACATATGTATGTATATATTACGGCTTACCAGAGCACAAATGGTAAATGTAAAAGATTTCATGCAAGAAGCTTGAGGGAAAATTTTTTTTTAATCATTTGTTAAAGAAGTTCACTGGTTACCATGGTAAAGAGAGAAAGAAAAAGAATCAGAGCATTCATTAGTGGTCAGTTGCTCCAGTTAGGGAAGACTTCACTCTTCAAGTGACTAAGAAATGCATTTTAAAAAACGATAATTGTTCAACTGAGATATGGGAAAATATTTTGACACTACATATAAAGGCAATATCTACACTGCACATTACCTTAAAGTATATGTCAAATTAGAATACACTTCTGGAAATACTAAAGTGGTGTTTGCAAGTTTCATGCATTTGTCAGCCGAAAGCTGCAGACCCACTGTTCGGAAGAACCACAGTTGCATAAGAGAAAGAGTTACACACTTTATTTTATGACTCTATTCCCATACTAAAGCTTATTAAACAAACAATCCATCTAATCAGGAGATTGAAGCAGTGTCCCAGCCGGGCCCCTGATATTCTATTTCTCCAGATATTTTTTCCTTCCGTTCCCATTTCTCCCCTCCCTATGAGCAATGCATAGTTACAGAACATACTCTGTTCTCAAAGAGCTGGTGTCGAAGATGCTCTTTGGGGTGTGGTTTTTGTGGTGCTTTTGCAAGCCCTAGGATTCTCTCATCATTTCCTAGCCTCTCTCCGGTGCACATGTGATACTCTTTTGGCTAAATGCGAACTTGAACATTGGTCCCAGTCATTTTATGTTGAAGCCACATAACAGTTCAAATTCATTAATTTGGTTCACTGAAGGAATACTACACAGACTGAGGAAACAAATTACCATTCCAACAAAAAGCCCAACTAAATCTACCTATAGCTGGAAATAAAGCCACATACATACAACTATAGAAGAGGTAAAATGACACTAGTGGTATAATGGTTGAAGTGTTCGACTAGAAATCAGTTTCAATTCCAGCATCACTGGAAACTCACTGGATTACTTTGGGCCTGTCAGGGTCTCTCAGCCCCTTACCCACAGGGTAATTTGTGGGGGAAAAAAGGGAAAGACAATGCTATGAATGCAGGCTTTTTCTTAGATCCTGGAGAAAAGGCAGGATCTAAATAACGAAATAATATACCTGTCCTAGTTTTCAGAACAAAGGATTCATTCTGAGCAAAAGTGAGTTGAAAAATGAGCTATTAAAAATCTTACTGTTGGTGATTAATGTCAGTTGTACAAAGATCTGCCCTTGCTGTATCTCTAAAGCCAAAATATATCAAGATCTGAGGAAATAGTAACTGTGACTGAAAAAACTTTTATTTCAAAGTTAAAAATCACAGGTAGTCTCACTCTATGTGGTACAATCTCTCAAGTTTGTTGCACTCTCACGATTGCCAATGGCTTCTTCCTCTAAATTATAGAAAATCACTTTTAAAAAACCAGAAATATGTGATACGTTTGAGTGCAGCAAAATTTGCAATGTCACCTGAGTCTTGACGTGGAATATACCCTAGCTTGATTAGACAGGCAAATGAAACAAATTCAGAATTCTAATGTTATAAAAGTCACTATGCAGAAACCTTATCTAACAGAACTGTCCACTGCATGTATTTAAGTCCACCCAAAAGGAAGCATTTTACTACAAAAAAAAAGTTTAATAACAAAACCATGTAGCTTTCTACAAACTACTCATTGGCCCATCATAGTTAATGATTGTCTTTATCTGTCATTTGGTACAATGGGTTCATGATAGCAAATGTTTCAAAACACAGTCACAGGATATTACTAATCTATTGCACCAAAATGTCCAATTTTGTATGGTCACAACATCTACAACAGGAATGTAAACCCCAAAAGTCACTATATATCAAAAGGGGAGAATTTTCTATACTATAAAAACACTCCTAGCATTACCAGGTCTAGATCACTGACAGATATCTCTGCAAGAGCTTTTAGTCGTCCTTGTGATTTATTAAGTTGGGTAAATGACCACCTCATTTTTGCAGTTCCAGAGAGAAAACAATAGGTTGTCTAAGGAATCCAGTGGTCAGCCTCCACAAAGCACTGTTCTTTACTTACTAGTTTGTAAAGTGTGCAGTCCTTATATAAATTATTGCCAATCAGCTCATGTCATAATTTAATGCGACCTTCATTTGTCCAGAAAGAATCTTTACAAATCAGTTGCTGTCAAGTTTTCATGATTTTTTTATAATAAATTGCATTGAAAGTTGGATGCTTTCAATGTAACTCTAGTGCAACCACTTTTCTATTGGCACAAGATTGGTATATTCAGTAACTAGAGAAAAAAGCATTTTCAAGAAAATATTGAGTTACTTTATTTAAAAGTTTATTGTTCAATTTTAGTTTTTCAGCTGAAGGTCAGTTCTTGACACTTTCCTTAAAAAATAAATAAAGCTAGTAAGGGAGCTATATTGGTAAACATAGTTCCCATCAATATGGATCCTTTCTTTCTTTTCTACTGCAAAGGTTAAGTAGTCAAAATATAAATAAATGTAACAAACTGCGGGGAAAAAACCCTTTTGTAAAAAATGAAAAACCATTGCATAATAGTTTGGAGTTTTCTACTGGTGTCCCAGTTGTTTTCCAATGCGCTCTGAATTTTAAAAAAGTAGAAGTCCAATTATGGTTTGAATCATCGAGCTCGTGCTGAGTAACACCTCATGTATTCTGTCATCCATGGATTGTCTGGACCTGAAGATTTGGTTCTCCATGTTCTTTCTACTTCTACTGTGTGTATCCGTCTCTGTGATAGCTTCCTTTTTTCCACTTGTCTTCTGTTCTTGGCTCTTAATGCAGATTCATGTATCTGCAGAGATAGTTTAAAAGTTAGTTTTTTGCAGAAAATGCAGCTCTGAAACCACTTAATGAAAGTCACCCCCAGAATAGCCTTTCCAAACACTAATTTGGAATTCCATTACATCAGTGTTTTTTAAACTTGGCAACTTTAAGATGTGTGGACTTCAACTCCCAGAATTCCCCAGCTAGCATGTCCACACATCTTAAAGTTGCCAAGTTTGAAAAACCCTGCATTATATAGATTCTTTTTATGATCATTTCACCCAGTAAGAGGTAGCTTATAAAATTCAACTGTTACTCCTACTTAATATCATCCACACAGAATAAAGAAATTATCAATATATGCAGAGTATAATGTATCCCTATTCTGCTTTTGAACTTTGTGAATGATTATCCCTGGGGTTACCAATATATCTTTTATGCTAGGATTTCTTTTTATATTTACAAGTATTGCCATGTTGCTCTATCTCATGCACATACAATACAATTAAGACTATCAAAAGTGCTTGCAATAGGATTATTTTATCATAACTGATAAATTTAGCTACATTGAGAAGATCTAACCAGATAAATAAAAGAACTGTTTATTCCAGAAGCCCAGGAATCATAGAAATAAACAAGCTGAATAGATACTTTCCTAAGATAAAGCTAAATTAAAAAAAAACATGATATTAATAAACAGTGCCTATAAATTAGCATTGGAATATACAGACAGAAAGCTGGACAGAAGTACGTAATATAAAAGTGCACAGAATTTATGGTTTAATTTTGTATAGAATACATATGACGTCATGAAATAACAGAACAATACCATTAAAAAATATATGCTATGGTGCTTGTTTTAATACCCTTGCCTTAACAGAGGTTACTTCTCACTGGGAGCAAAAATAACCCCAGGAGAGACCTTCCTTCTGTCTTAAATCCAAAAATTTTCTTCCTTGACCAAAATAAACAAAAAGAATTAGCATCTTGCACTTGCCAAACAATTCAGCTGTGTTATCAATTTCCATGAGAAAATGTTGCTTTTACTTGTTTTAAAAAAAACAGTCTTGTAGGAGATAGATGCACTTCAAAGTGCAATACCTTTGCTGCTGAACTCAGTATTAACTATTTCTATTTTTAAAACTCTACAGAAAATAATGCTGTACTCCAAGGTATTCAAAAACATAATCCAGTTACCTTGTGCATGTTCCAACTATTTTCATATTCTGGATTCTACTTGAATTGTAAATTATATTAGTTAATATTTTAATACAGGAGATGCTGAAGTCCTTTACTAGAATGCCAGAGCTATTTTTGGATCTACATACAAGCAAGGAATATAATTTTCACAATGATCAATATTTTCACATGGCCAAAGCTGGTTCCTAAAATCACAGCGTGTCTAAAACTAATAACCAATTTGCTGAATCCCCTTTTATCAATATGAGTTGACTTTTCACCAGCTTGGATTTCAGTCACCTGCTGACAAATCAAGAGTTGTAACATTCTTGACAACAGAAAGCATACATAAGATGTTAGCTGGGTGTAAGAAAACTCAATCCACCCTGAAGTTCAGATATTATTCTCTGGATGCTTGGCTTTCACAGGTTAGGAAGTGGGGAGGTGGCTTTCCTGCCTTGTATTCAAGTTACAGCTTCCTTGGTAGACTATTTCCCTTGTATTTCTCTTACTTAAAGTTGTGCCCTGGATCAAAAACATATACAATGCTTGTTTGTCAGTTTTTCACATAGTTATGAACACATGGCACAGGCAATCTATGAGACATTACTCAAATAAGATCAACTGATATTCTAAGGGTGTGCAAAAGATCTTAGTTGTGGATAGCTCTGCTTCTATTTAGGCAGTAAGGTATTTTAGAGAAGAATATTATATTGTGCGTGCTTGGATAATCATATTTCAGCTTCGTTAAGTCAAAATATGAATGTCTTTTCATCCATATATCTGCTTCTTGGTATAAGCCAACTATCAACCAAGGAATTCTTCTGTTAACAGCAGTTATTGCCCTATTTTTTTCCAAATCAGAAAATTATGGTCAATGGCTAAAGAACAAGACACTATGGTCAACTAACTTCAAACTCATTTAACACTCCCTCTTGTTTCCAAGCTATTAATAGTTTCCTGATTTGGATAGAATGAAAAAATATAGTTATTAGAAGATGCCCTAGTTAGCAGGCTAGCTCATGTGAAAGGAAGAGCAAAGAGACAACAAGTTCCTTTACAGCAGAACCTATAAAGCTGAAATATGGTTGGCTGAATTCCTTCAGTTTTGTACAAATATCCTCTTATCTGTTCATAAGTATGAGAATACTCCTCTGTCAAACCCCACAATCTCTCACATCCTCAGAGCAAAAATGCCTACCTCCTGAACAATCCTTACCCTAGGTACCATTTCTTTTACTTGAGTAGAAATTGCCATTATGTCACATGGACTTTTGGAAATCCATTCAAGTTAATTTATACCTAATCGTTACCTACCTACCTAAGTTGCTGTCATTAATTTTTAGTTGATTAAGCTAGCCTAGACACAGAGGTTTAATCAGTATATAGTTGCTGTTAGTTTTTTCTTTCTTTCCTTCACAATGCTGTCAGAACTACAGTAACAAACTTCTTAACATTTCACAGATCAGCGTCATTTTGCAAGAACTTACAGCTTCTCAATGTCACTCAAGTTCCTATCCTGGTGGCGTCATCAGCACTTCAACCTTTTGTGCCATTCCTAAACTTGAGCTCATCCTGTCTTTGGACACTGACTGCTGTTTTATATATATCTTATGCTGATTTTGATAGGGGCTAAGTCATAATTCTAGCATCGAGAGTTCCTTCCACAGCAGCACTGAAATGGCAGCCAGAAATAAAAACAAAACAAAAATTTGCATTAAACCAGAATCAGCAGAACCCAATTAGCAAAAAACAAGGATTTAGACCCACTTTGTAACCACAATGTTATGATTAACCCAGAAATGTAATAGCCCAAGAAAACAATCACATCCACAGAGTGAATCCTCTAGGACAAGACAGTGCCTGCTGTATCTGGCGCCTGTTAAAGACAGGCTTCCTGATACCGCTTGCAGGCTTCCCATGGGCATTGACTTGCCACTGTAGGAAGTGGAATTAGATAGGCTTGGATGTGACCAGCAAGGCTGTTATTTCCAAACTACCCTGGGGAAGCTTTTTTAAAAGGCACCATAATTTAAAAATAAGGACAGATTTAGGTGAAGAAAACCTTTTGGCTCCAAAATAAAGTTGGAGGAATGCCGCCATTGTACCATCCACTTTAAATTCTACCCTACCCCTTTACAGGAAAGCAAGCTTGGCACAGGAAATTCTTGCCCCATAACCAAAGCAATAGTTTCCCAGTCCTATACCAACTCAAAACATTGCTATGGGCCACAGAACTTCAAATTGTGGACACTTCAAAAATGGGGGCAGTCTTAACCACAAAAAAAGACGGGCAGCCTGGAATAACAGGCCAGCAGAAAGATAACGTGGGCCTTGCTACTCTCGTGCAAGTGCAGAGGCAGCGAACAAGTAACCGCGTCTGGGTCCAAGAGGCACGCAAAACCACATCCCAAAGTGGCTTCCATCTCCCAGTGTGAGTGTCTTTGACAAAGGTGGGCCTGCTTCTGTAGAGCAGATGCACAGAAGTAGCTTCATACATGGAGTCCTCAATAAGAGGGACACAATCCAAAATCTGTCCATATTTTAGGGCACAATAAGTAGCACAATAATTAAAAAATAAAAGCCACGTCTACTCTCAACTGTTTAGGATGCTCAGCATCCCATCACAAAGGCAGGGAAGCAGCAGAATGTTACTTCATCTAGGACCACACACACACTCTGCCTAACACAAGCCAAAGATTTAGACCAGTGTTTTTCAAACTTGGCAGCTTTAAGACGTGTGGACCTCAACTCCCAGAATTCCCAGCCAGCATCTTAAAGTTGCCAATTTTGAAACACATGGATTTAGACAAACACTTCCTGAACATGTACGTCTTTAGCTTACTTCGTTTACTGAAGCAGATGCGCGGACATTGTGTGTCTTCTGACTGCCTGTGTCAGTCTGCTTTTCGCCCCATCCGTACAAAGCAAATGGGTGTTTTATTCCCAATGTTGTTTCTGTCCTTTGGGGGCTTTTTGCTCCTTTGCGGTCACCTTGCCCACCTGAGGCACTGCTCTGACTCAAAGGCTGTCTTTGTGGACAACTTGAATGGCTGATTCCTTTCCCTGCAGGTTTCTTTTCGTCTTTCTTGACCACAGCCTTCCCTTCAGACTTTTCTTGGCCATCTCCCTCTGGGTAGAAAAACACAAGTGAATTTTGCTTTAGCCTGTTAAAACTGCACACAATAAATTCAGCCTATTTTGCAGCATAATTCTTTGAATGTATTTGCAGTTGAAAGAATCAGCTCCCTCTTCATACAGCATTGTAGACTTAGAGCATAAGATGGACCTCTCGTTTTAGCTCTTTCTTGTGCCACAACTGCACCTTAGGAGAACTAGCCCTTTGCATCCTATTCATTCATTCATTTCATTTTCCTTTCCCAAGGAGGCAATAACATGGTCATGCCTCCCTTTCTTTTCTTCCCAACAATCCTGTGAGAGACGTTAGTCTGTTGCTGCCCCAACTTCATGGCTGAGTGGAGATGTGAACCACAGCTAGATCTGCTTCTAAACCAAACAGTAAGACTGTGCCAGCAAAGCAAGGGCACCAGGAAACAGCTGCACCACGTTCCAGTGCTTTCCCCAATCAGACAGCAGATCAGGAGGGGTCACAGAGTGTGCCTTGTGAAGAAAAAAAATAGTGCATCTTCCATCTTGCTGTCCTTTGGGGCTGTGCTATGATTCCTACAAAACTCTGCATAATTCCTGCTTATTTTTGGCTGGCATCTAAAAGCTTACACAACTTTTTAAATGCTTGCTACCGTGGCAATGACTTACATAAGCAGCTAGCTGTGTTTCAGTTAGAAAATCACCAACCCTATTCGAGAACCCACTGCACATGTTGAACGTACAAATGTGATTCTTATTCCTCAAAGACTATGGGGTAGCCTATACTTTCCCCATATAATCAGTAGTAACAAAGTTACTAAAATAATAGTTTTTACACTAGAAATGTCGGAATGCCCACAGTATCAGTTTGACATCAGCAAGATGGCTAAGGATCATCGAAGCCAGTATCATATTTGTGATTTTTGTTTCTACCTCAAATAGGTAAGGGCCATCCCCATTAGACTTCTGCAGCTTTATTTAGGAACATCATCAACCTAAAATAATTAGCAAAACTGCATTGAAAATTTGCCCAATAATCAAGCTATCCTGCCACCTATCATTAATTATAACTATATATGGCATGTGTCAATTGTAGATGTGTCTTCCATTTGTTCTATTTGCAGACCCTACAGAAACAGAACCTATTTCATACCATTAGCATTTCAGTGCCAATTTGTAAAATTGGTTTCTATTTGCCAGCAAAGTGAGTGCCAGTCTCCCCAATGTATTTCACCGATGGTCTGAAGCTAGACTTCGAGTGGACCTGTTGCAATCAACACGATAGCTACTGTCAGTCCAAGTGACCCAGAAAATGTACCTGTGCCTCATCAAGGGGGCGGGATTTCTGTTTATAAGACCAATGAAAGATGTCTTTGAGAACATGGTAAACAATATTTTGGCAGCCAGAGGGCACACTGAATTATTTTAAGGGAAAGAGCTGAGGCATGCATGAGATAAAATTGGGATTTCTTAGGGGTGGGGGGGTTCCCTTATGTTTTGGGAGGCTGATTGAGGGATGTTTATTTGTTTAAGTTATGTTAAACATATTT